TTAAGTAGGCGAGTCGTGTAGCGAGAGAGCTGGGGATCTCGATTCTTCTGCAGCGCTGGGATGTTGCCTTTCGGCATACGTGTATGCATGTATGTATGGCCAGTCCTTTCAGACTGATATGCCGCCATTTTTAGCCAATGAAAGCTGGCTGGCTGGCTCCCTGGCTGATAAGTTGCATGAAAATTCCCCACTGGGGGCTGTACGGTGATATTTGTTTTATATTTCTAACAAATTTCTTGACCGATTTTCGCCCATTCAATAACGATTAATTCTTCAAAATTACGAATTGTGGCCTGTCCGACTGAGTACCCACAGTCCTGTGCTCTGGCCGTTTGTTAGCTTCACCCTATAGACGTGCGCGGGAGTGTCAATACGGACGATAACCCGCCGCGTTTCCGTATTTCTCTCGCCTCTACGGTCGTTGTCGACTGTCGGTATCGGTGTCGGTAGCTGGTATTGGCGCCTGTGATGAATGGCCTGGGATGACCAGTTGGCCGTCCCTTGGTCTGTGGCTGAGTGATCGGCTCGGTGACGTCATCGGATCGAGATGGAACGACATGGAATGGGGATGGCTTAGTGCATTGGCCCTGCTCCCCTGTCCCTCTCTCATATGGGCGCATCTCCGTGGTCTATCAGTGGCCTAAATGACACTCTTTTGGCCTCGGGGGCCCCCTGTTTTCCTTAGATGGCCCTCTGGTGTCCTCCAAGGGTCATATGTTGGCCTCGTAGGGCCCCTAGCAACCTGAAATAGCCCTTCTATCTCAACGGAAGGCCCTCTGTTCGACCATGCTGACATATCTCAGCACGCGTCTAACTTCGTAGGTATTCTGGTAGGTATGTTGAATTTGATTAGTAGGTATTCTGGTGACTGGTATGTTGAATTTGATCACGTATGACAAACTGGATACTGGTTTGCATCAATCATTGGTCACCGTTTGTTTAATTTGTTGCATCGGTTTAGCATTCCCGGCCAAAAGTATCCGATAACGATCTTATTATATCATTCTTTTGTTCTGGAAGTTGAACTTAGGTGTTCAAAAATTAAAGCTAGTGTTATGGCAGATGTGTGCAATTTTTAAATAGTGTGTTTGCAGTCCGCAGAGCCTCGCTCAGCGGGCGCGGCGGCCTGTGGAACCCAGCCCTCCCTTTGCTTCCTTGGCGCCATCAGCCGGAGGGAGGGCGAAACTTCAGTCTGTCCTTCGGTCGCGGTCAGGTGGCGCTGCCTGCTGCACGTCTCTGGGAGCGTGGCGTCCTCTGTGTATAGGTTACTGGTGACACTCGACTGTGTATTGTAGGTGGCGCTGCGAATCCCCACGGCCGTCCGTCGGTTGAGCGTCAGTGGATTTATTGAACTGCAGCGCTGTCTCCCCCACCCCTCCCCTCTTCATATCATCGTCACACAAGTGTCGCTAGCCGTCACAAAAACCGCCGCCGGTGCCCGGTGGAGCCCGTCCGCCATGGTGGACGGGTTCTACCTGGCGCGCCAGGTAGAAACCGGCCAGGTATCGTTATCGTAGAATGTAGATTATCGCCAGGTAGATCGCCAGGTACCGTTCTACCTCGCGCGCCAGGTAGAACGACAATCTGTGATCGGTTGGCATTTAGCTCTCGCTCAGTCCCCAGGTCCGAAAAGAATAAATAGTTCGATGACAGACAGATCATTGAGTGTGATTGCTAGCAACTAGTATCGTTTTTTCGCGACCGGCGAGCTCTTCAGAACTGCTTGCATCTAATGTCACGTCTGATTTTCTTGGAACAGCGACCGTCTATGCCACCAGCTCATCACAGGTTCACACCCACTTGTGGTGCTACTCGCTGGCGGCGTTTGTAACTGTCAATTACTCTCGTCCTTCCATAGACCGATAGAGGCAGTCTTATTGCTGTACTCAATTCACTTGCCCCCGTCTGGACATGTTCATTGCTTACCCGTTATCTGTGACTGTGCCACCGCCGACAGCGCTGGATGGTGCTAGCAGTCGGCCAGCAGGCTCCGGCTGCGATAGAACGCCGGGCATGGAACGGGGAGGGTTGAACACAGGGCAGGCTGGCGGTGGTTGGAATCGCGCCCGCCCATTCCCTGATGGTCTGATGCCGACATGCATAATGCAGGCTCACACGCCGGGCCCGACCGACGCCGCGTGCCGGCCGAAAGATGCCTGATTGGAACAAGACAGGGTTGGGTTCGATCGGACCAAAGAGATTGATTTGGTTTGATTGGATGAAAGAGGTGAGTTGGTTCGATTGGACCGAAGAGGTGGTCTGATTCAGCTGGGCGAAACTGGATTGGGCTGGGCTTAATTAGATGTGGGTAGGACGGCTTTTATTGCGATTGAGCCATTCAGATGAGGTCGGGTTCAATTGGACGGGATTTCACGGGCTTCCGTTGGGTTTGGACAGGACTGGGCGATGTTTGCCTCTATAAGACGGAACATTAGGCGCAGAATTAGACAGTGAATGGTTTGATTGTTTGCTTTGGTTATGTCGATGAGGCATAGAGACGACTTAACTGCGTGAAAGAATGCATGCTCATCTAAGGAAGCTCTTAGCGAAGGGTTTGGTGCTCTGAGTATCGTGCAGAAATAGCTTTCTGCAGTGTATTTACGTGTTTCAATACAATGTTCATTATGTAGCAGTTTCCGTAGCAAACGCGTCGCTTTCATGCTCGGGGAAGGCATTTCGCTGAACTATGGCGGCGTTTATTTATCGCTGGCTCCACACGCCGGTGGCTGGCGGTGACACGCGGCTGATAGTTTCCACGGCGCGTCGTGCGGATGCCGTGGAGTGGCGTCCCGTCCCGACCGCGCGGCGCTCCGGCCCGACTCTGGTCTGGTCGATAGGGGCTGGCGGCCGGCCAACCCCGGAGACGAGCCGCCCGACGGGCCGGCCGGGACCTTCGGAGCCGCGCCGAACTGGGTCAGATCGCACCACTGACGCCCGGCGGATGTGCGTGAGAGGTGGACAGAGAGGGACATGCGGGTCCAAATAATACCGGACAGAACTCGGACCGCGTATGGCCTAAACAGGACAGACGCTCCAGGCTGCCGGATGAAAGCTGTTTGCTCTGTTCAGAAGTTTTGTGGATTCTGGGGCAGTTTTGCCAAGTTTCTCACACTGGTCGTTGAACACAGTGAAAGGTCATGATGAGTACAATATCCGGAAGATTTCATCACCACATCCGGATATTCAGCTGCGCCTTTTCCAACGTGGTATGGCGGCCGCAAGCTATGCAACTCCCGCTTTATTGGATGAAGTCTGGACAGCATTTTCTCCGGAGTGGCTATTTCTCAAGGTATACATCCAGCACGTTGGCTCTCTTTTATATGCAGCGTTTTGTTGTTCCACAGAAATGCTGTAGAGGTCCGGGTGAATTGTGTTTGCAGTGCAAATAAATCCACCCCAAAAAGGTAGCGAATATTTAGAGCGTGATTAATCGAATATGCCTCATGCTTGATTTACCTTCGCTTATGTGAGACATTATACCTAGCTACCTATTCCCACTTTTTATCAGCTCGCTATCTAGGACTAGGAACTGAAGTTTTCAGCCTACATTGTTTATCTTCAGGAAACTCCGCATTCAAGTTTGTAATATTGCTTTAACATTCTTCTTCAACGACACTTGTCTTATGCTCTGTCAGGGGGCGTGCACTATAACTATAATCTGCTGCACTTCAGGGTTCATGCTGTTCCCGCACTATTGACTTGAGATAAAAACTGGCCCTCCCACCTCGGCAGATAGTCGAGTTATGTGGTTACGATTGTGGAGTTATGATAGTTGAAAGCTCAAGCAGACTGATCCGTTGCTCGCATTATGCGCCGCGCTGGCAAAACAGTGTCCGTGGATGTTGTTAGTTAGACCATGGTTAGACTGTCCTGCTGACCAGGCTGGATATAAAAACTGCTGCCTCACCGCCCTGCCTGCCGGAGGCAGCTGATGCAGCAGGCTGATCACGCGGTGTCGGCATCTGACCGTATCGTGCACCGTGTATGCCGACACACTCAAACTGAGCGCATTTACCTGCAGAGGTCCCACCTATCCTGGCAGTAACACCCGCCTCCGTGAGCCGCCCCGTGCCGACGCAGGGTGCACGGTCGAGGGCAGTCGTCGGCAGTTCGCTGACCGCCGCGGCAGGGCTGGTAGGGGTAGGGTGATGGACTGGAATTCCTCTCGTATGACGTCACCTGGCCTGCCGCCCGGGAGATGTCAGGTGCTCTGCTGAGCGACTGCCACGGCGCGGTGGGTGTGGCCTCAGGGGTCGGCACTGGGCTTATTGGGTGGATTTAAGGTGTAATGGTCGCCTGGTCTGACGAAGGTGACGCCCTCTGATTATTTTGCTCTCTGATTTAGCCGTCTACCGACAAGAATCCCACTATCAAATTAGTCGGTCACGGATGAACGGTTATCGACGAACGAGACTGTTGTCTGGCACATTTGATTTATCCGGTCGATATAACTGTTTCTATTCTGTTGGGAGTCTGAGCGTGGTGGTATCTCCTGGGCTGCTAAATCCACCTGGTATGCTGGACATGGGTGTTCCGGACGCCCTGCTACCGTAGGTCAACTGCTAGCGAGGAAGAGAGGTGTGGTGAAACAAATAGAAGAGGGTGAGAGCGGCAGGGCTAGAGGGCTGGAGTGGCAGACGCCCGGGGTCAATGTGAGCGCAGCCGCCGAGGTCGGGGCAGAGCCGACCTTGGCTGCGAGCGGCGTGTTTACCCCGACCGACCCGGCCTCCCACCCTCTCCCTCGGCCTGTCCTGCTGCAGCCAGCCTCTACCTGTGCTGTTGGCAGAGGCGGTCGGACGGTGCGCGTCCGGGGAGGGGAGGACAGAGGGCACGGCGCCGCTCCGGCCCTCTGCCGCCGGGTGGACGCGGCTCGAGTGGACTCGCCGGGCGGTGACCGATACTCGCCGATAGCCGTCAGGGCCGAGCGGCGGCCGATCACGTGTCCAGCCCCGGGGCTATCGGTGATCCACTGGCCGGCCGCGGTCCCGGGCCGGGCGGTGGGCTCATCACTGACCGTCTGACCGGGAGCGCGTGACGCCGCCGGCCGCTGCCCGCCCGCCTCGGCCTCCGTGCGCCGCTGCCGCCGCCGTCCGCCGCCGGCTGTCCGCCCGGCCGCCGCAGCAGCCAGCAGTGAGCACGTGTCGCCGCCGTCAGTGGTGCCAGGACGTCCCGTGACGACCCTGCCCGGTGCGCGCCTGAGCTGCAGCTGTTCGGTGACGTGGTGACGCGGAGCGTTCGGTGACGATGTCGGGCCGAGGTGATGATAGCGGTGACGAGACGAGCAGGTTCCTGGCCGAGGTGGCCGCCGCCGAGCGGCCCCACGTCAAGTTCAGCTCCGAGGAACAGAACGGAGTCAACAAGCAGCTGTCGAGCGAACGGCGCACCAGGAAGGTCAGGTCACGGCAGGGGAGGGCGGATTCGGGAGGGGAGGCCTTGGGAAGTCAAGTCACGGGAATGCTGGTCAGGTCATGCAGGGAGGTTCAGTATCAGGGAATGTGAGGTCTCTAGGGACGAGGGAGGTCAATTCGCATTCTGATTCTCAGGTCTCCTGTACCGAGAATCTGAGGGACTACAGAGCACAGACCTATCGCGGTCTCCCAGTGCAGTGGGGCGGGGTCCCTGTATTGGAGCCGCCGGATTACCGGCGGCTCCGTCGCCGAGTCGGGCCGGTCGATCCTTATCGTCATTCCGCCGCCAGCTGTGTTTTATCTGCACCGTGCCAGATGATAGGACGCGTGGTGCCGCCGTCTGAACTATACTGAACTGCCGTGGCCGGACAACTGGGTCGGTTATTTGATATTATAGGGGAGAGAGGAGGCGACTAAGAGGAACAGACTGAGACAGGGAGAGAGGGAGAGAGAGAGAAAGAGGGAGAGTGAGAGGGAGAGAGGGGAGAGAGAGTGATTTTTAATTATGTTTCGTCCGTGATTACATCATTCATCACCACAGCTTTCCGTCTATGGTTCGAGTGCAGCTCACCATGCTGAATTTCTAATTATGAAGCTGCGCCAGAGGATAAGCAGGGGGTGATGGGGGGGGGGGGGCGGGCGGCTGGGGAGGAGGGTGGGTAGGAGGGAGTCAACACGCCAGTGGCGCTGGCTGATAAGCCGAGCTGGCTCAGCTTTTCAATTATATTTTTCGCTGACTACGACAATGTGTGAATCAGTAATCGGAGCCTGTGCTGTGTTTCTTATAAATCTGCCCAGTTATTGGGCCGACCAGCTGCCTGCTATGCATTCTGATTTCTCAAGTCTTGTGAACGAAGTGCATTGTATGGAACGGAACCCGCGAGGGCCTTTTGCACTCCAGTTTATATTAAACACTTACGTAGGTTTTGTGAACTGTGAGCACTGAAGTGTTAATTATAGTGCAACATTCCATGAGACTGGAATTGAGTGTTTCTAGCTTCCTCCACAAAATCACTCCGTTAATGGCCTGCCATTATGGCCGGGCTGCCCGTGCCAATTCTGCCGCTCCATTGAGTAAACGTTGGCTATTCTGCCTCACATAATCCGACATTTGTCTTTGCTGATAAAGATGCCACATTTGTTTAATGCCCTGGAAATGGCTTTGGTAAGATATCGGGTAGACTCTTCACTCGCGAGGTCTCAACTGGCTTGATTCTGTTGGAGTTGCCGGTTGTAAGTCTGAAGTGACGTGTAGTTATGGTAACCATTGATTGGGAACTGAACCATTCCGACCATTTGACGACAATCGAGATATTAGTGATCAGAATGATCTGTCCAATTTATTGGATGTTTACGTCCGTGCGTGAAAGTATCAGGTGTGTAGCGTGCTGGCGTCTGTTAAACTTCCTATCGAACTTTCCCATTCGGTCGATTTCGGCCAGAAATTACCGCGATGAGGAAGCCATACTGTTCGATCGTGTCGCTGCTGCTGCCCTGTGGACTGTGTGCTGATCTGACGCTGTCCTCCGTCGACTGATGTGAGGTAGTCTTTGGCGATCCGCCGCCGACCTCTGAGGACTGTGGCAGTTTGGTGATCTGACACTGCCCTCTGTCGACTGATGTGGGGTAGTCTCTGGCGAGCTCCGAGGACTGTGGTAGTGCACTGGTGATCTGACACTGTCCACTGTCCCCTGTCGACTGATGTGAGGTAGTCTCTGTCCATCTGCCGCTGACCTGTGAGGACTGTGGTAGTGTGGTCAGGTGATCTGACACTGTCGACTCTGCCCTGTCGGCTGACGTCAGGCAGTCTCTGGCGATCCGCCGCCGACCTGTGTCCGGCCGGCCAGGACGGACCCTGGGCCGGGTGCCAGCGGTGACCGCGATGGCCCTGAGCCCGGCTAGTTTATGGCTGGTCTTAGAGGACCCGAGACCGGTTCGGACGGCGGACAGGGGAGGAGGAACGCTGCTGAGATACCGCCGGCTCCGTGAACCTCAGACACTGCGCCGTGTTCCGTCAGACAGCAGCCGGTGCCGCCCCTGATAGGGTCCGCGTGCACCCCTGGCGGTCCCCCACTCCGCCGCGGAGGCGCCACTGCTCAGATCGTCCTGCCATCTACCGGCGGTGACTGGCACAGGCGCCTGACGACTGCGAACGACCTCGGCGACCTCCCCCCGGGCGGCGGCCCGGCTCCGCGTGCCGCACGTCCCGGGGCGCGGTCCCTCAGGCTGCCGATGGGTGATGAATGGTGCCGGGAAAATGGGCTTGGACAGTTCTGTCTTTGTTCTACGTATTGATAGTGTTTGTGTGCTCGTTTTTGCTGGCTGAGTTGTATTCCCTGCCATGGGGATATTAACGTTACACAGAAGTGTTGTTTACAAACATTGCATTTTCTCACTTTTTCGTCTTGGCAGTTCGCTGCTTTCTTCAGAACGCTTCAATGGTAGGCAGTAGGTAACGTGTTTTGCTTTTCACGGTGTCTTGTCCGATTGGCTGTTCCAGCCGTCCTTTTCCCGTCTCCATCCTATCCCCTGTTCCGCAGTTATCGGGTCGCTCCCCGGCTCTCCCCTCCCGTCCCCGTCCAGAGGGCTGACGTTGTTCTCTTTCCTCCTTCCTCCGTAACAGACGGCCAGGCACAAATGTGCCGTGACGCCCCTCTGACCCACGCCATACCGTACGGCTGGCCAATGGCCAATGAAAGTGATGCCATCCCCGGAGTCAGCTGAAACGAGACCAAACCGGCTGAAAGAAAAGGCTGTCGGCAGTTATATTAAACAGAATGGCACCACGGCTAGCCTATCAGGAGGGCCTGAATGGCTGCCAGTTACAATCCAAGTTGGCTCGGAATGGTGCCATAAACTGGCAGGGTTCTCCGGTCTAGACCGTGGCGTTGTTGGGACTGGGTGTGATTATTTACCCAGCCCATAACTGCCACTCATCATCAGCGCTGCCTGTTTGCCCTCGTCCGTCGACACGGGCGATAAAGGCGGTGGTAGTTTGTCGAGTTTACCGCAGCACGCCACCAGCGCGGCCTCCAGAGAGTGTAAACCACCCCGGCGACCCGCACCGGACCCAGTCTGAAACTGCTCAAGGGGGGGGGGGGGGGGAGACAGTGGTAAATGTCTGACTCGTTATCTGTATGAGGGTTTTTCCTCATATTTTCTTATGATCTTCCATGTTCTTCGCGATGTTTTGTTATTAATGTGCCTTATTACTGTTTTGTTAAATTCTTCCGATCTTCAGGCAAGAGTTTGTACTAGTTATCTTCCCTTTCCTGATCATCAACATAGCACCTCCTTTCATAGGCTGAGGCCTGTTAATGTCAGTCGTTGGTGTCCCTACAAGGTTTAATGACGTCATTGGCTCCATTGTGAGCTGCCTAACCCGTACTAACTGCCCACAACTGCGATGTTGGTCGGGGGGAGAGGGCTTCGGGCGCAGTGGACGGCTGTTAGGCGGGGCTGAAGGGATTCGGGGCGGGGCAGAGTTGACTTTGGGCAGAATTGAGAGGATTTTGGACATAGTTGAAAGGATTTCAGCTGCCGGGACGCTCTCGGCCGCGTCGCACCGACTATCCGTCGACGAATTGGCTGGAAGTGGGGTTCAACGACCTCTTACAGCCAGCACCCAACCAGACAAACAAAAAAGGTGAAACTGTGCAAACAGCCAGACAGCCAGCTATGAATCATAGCTTATTGAAGCTAATGTTGATATACTGGCGAGTTTTCAACATTGGCAGCGTTGGTTCTCGCAAACACTTTGAGGACATCATGTTCGGAATCAACCGGTGCATGCTGCAACCCTTAGAAAGTGTTCGCCTGTCTAAATGTATGCCTTCAAGATGAAAACTGGTATTCATTGTGCTGGAATGGACTCCTAGAACCTTTGTCTCGGCTGATCTCAACGCTGATCCGGCCATTACTCGCTCCAAACTCTGAAGAGTGTTACCACGGTCACGTCAATACTACTTCGACAACTGTGCCGAAGTCTCGATCAGAAGCGACTTGAGACTAATGGGTAACCAGCAGACACATTGGAGAGCGATGGGGGTGGTTGAAGGTATGTAGTGGTGGGGTCGTTCCAAGGGAGGGATGAGTGACGCTCAGAGGACGATTGAAGGTGAAACAACAGGCACGGTGGTGGTGTTGTTTCAATTAGGCCGATTGCGCCGACAGTGTCTTGGTCCGGTCTCGGCCAGTGGGGCCGCGGGAAGCTAACCTGGCTAACACGGTTGACCCCTGAGACTGACGGCTGGCCGGCCGGTCGTCCATTCTTCGACCGTGGCCGAGTGCCAGGCCCTCCATAGCTGCGCAATGTGGGGCGAGCATTGTCAGCTGGATCGATATTAAATTTATTTCAAGCGAACTACTTAACGGTATTTTTGGCCTTGGTTGCCTTTATTTTATATTACATATTTTATCTATTATTAAGATTTGCATGTGCAGTTTATGGAAAGTCTGAAAGGTGTTGGCTTAGGTCTCATTGGATTGGATTATTGAATGCAATTTATCTCTCCGGGTTCTGCGAGTCTGTCTCATTCTTATTCAACTGGGTCCGAATGTTAAGTCTGCTGATATTGTAATCCTATCGAGTCTCAAATAGTCTAAGACTGATGTGGCATGGGTGAGTCCTGTATCCGGCAAATCACTTCCTTTATATCGCTCCTATTTCGGGCTGCGCTGTGGGCGCTAATGACCAGTGCACTCCAATCTCTTCAAAAGCCCAAGCATCGGATCGTCGTTTTGGTAGAAGCTCTCTCCGTAATCGCTAAGCTCAATAAAGTACCTAGTATCTAACCATATCCGCCATCGTTTGTGCCACACAGCTTTCCGTTACGTAAGTCTTGTCAGTTTATATAAGCGTCCCTGGCTTCCTGTGCTATTTCGTGCAGCCGTAAACGTGGTAGGGGAGGCTGGCCGAGGGAGGATGTGTCGTGACTGTTCTGTCGCGGTGTGACGTGAGAGAGGGGAACGGACAAGGACAAATCACTTTGGTGTGCGGGTCTCGGGGTTAATAGAGCCACTTGTTTTCGAGTGATGGTTGGGCGTTGGTGTAATTTTTTAAGCGTTTTTCTTTGCTTCTCTCTAACAGTATCCATTACGAGGCGTCGATAAAAAGCAGTTCACTGGATTATTTGTCCTATTATAATAGAAACCATGAAATTCTGCATGCTTTGCCCCTTTGATTGCAAAAATAGCCTTTGTAAATATAACAGGTGAACTGAATTGGAGTCTAAATAATAAATTTGACCTACCACCGTGAATGAGCTCAGCGCCGTTTAGGCCGTCGGGAGCCGCTGGGTGTGTCAGCGAGCCCCGTGTTTCGGTGTGTTGGGGGCCGGGTGAGCTGTCCGTCTTGGGGGGGGGGGGGGGCACCCCAGCCTGCGGCGTGCCGTGTTGCGTCAGACCGCCGGCGGGCGGGCGGGCCGGGTGCCGGTTCCGGCATTGTATCAGTGACGCCTTGCGTAATCCCAGTGGGGGTGTAGCGAACTGAAGGCGGGCGCGATCTTTGGGTTCCGGTCTGCCGTACCAGCTTTGACGTTCAGTGGCACCTCGGCGTGGGACCGGTCACCCCAACCGGCCTTCGGCGCGTGCTCGACACACAGGCGAGGTGTTCCAGCCGCTAGATACAGATCAGATCTGTCCTACACGTCCATTGTCCATTCAACTGCCACACAGCAAGCAGGTTTTAAACGCCACCCCACAGTGCCGGCTCCGCTGTGGTAAATGTGTTTTTGGACGTCTTTTGACACATGCATTGAAACTAGCCACCGAAATTGCAGAGTTAGTTTGAACTTGGAATATTATATGTTTTTCCTAGTTTGAGTAACTAGCTATTGCTTGCATGTTTACAAGGTAGGATTGGTCTGAAACACATTATAATTTCGTCTGCCGTTGGTCTTGGTTGGTGACCTTGATGACCAACTTCAGTTAGGCTGGCGGAAAGCCGGTCTCATCTTGTAGTGTAATGAATTTCCAGTGGGCTTACTGTCCTCTAATTGGGAAACTCGTGGATTATTTAATCTACTAATGTGCGGAGTTTTAACTATTTTGATTATTTTATTCCATTCTTTGCCATTCTTTCTTATCAACTTTGTCGGAATGAGATACAGAAACGAAGAAGCATTTCGATCCTTACATTGCGATTGATTTAATATTTCAGTCTTTACACGGATCACCCAGTGGTGTCGATGGCTTGTTGGGCAATCTAACTTGAAGTGCTGGCTATCTCGATCTGTCTTGCGTCACATCACAGCTTATCTGGAAACCATTCGACTTCAAGCACCCATCGGACTAGCCGTCTGCGGTTTCCTAGTACTGATATCGTACAGACGAGGGCGCTGTCGCCATTTGACTTTTCTTCGCCAACATCAGGCTGATGATTCCAGGGGCCGTTGTAAAAAATCTTGACAAATAGTACGCACCCTTTGACAAATGGAACTGAGGTCGCGGTGGGGCTTCTCATGTGGGCTGCATTTGTCTCGCTGATTGTCACCGAGAACCCCGAGAAACTGGATCGGCTCAGTCCAGTGAAGACTGCAGCCCAGTCGTTCCCTCATCTCTGACAGTGACTCGTTTGTCCCGAGCGACCCCAAACACCGTCCGCGGCTGTGTTTGGCTGACTGTCCGGCTGGGTGGCGGGGGCGGGGAGGTTTTTCTCGCCTTGCTGAACGCCGAGTCGGGGCGAGGCGGGGGCGGTGTCTCACGGGAGCCGCGGAGTAGGTAACTGCCGCCGCCTGCAGTACAGCCGAGGTCGGCGCCGGCAGCCCGCGGGCGCGGCCGACCATGACCAAGGCCGCACCCGACTCCGGCGCGGCGGTGGCCCGGTGACGGTGCCGGCGGGCCGCCAGTCGCGCGCCGGCCCTATGAGCTCTGTGATCGGCTGGTACCTGCGCTGGACGTGCTGTCCCCGGCCGCGCCCCGCTCCAGCTCCAGCCCCCGCCTCCGCCACCGCCCTGGATCTGCCGCCGGGCAAGGAGTCGCTGCCGGCCGACTGGGCGGCGCGGCTCTCCTCGGCGCCGCCTGAGAAGGAGCTGCGCGCCTGGACCATGGAGCCGCGCCTGACGGAGCCGTGGACCACCGCCGGTACAGGACAGCCGTGGGCGTCCTCGCTGGGTCTGCGCGGCCGCCGCATCTGGCTACCGACTGCTGAGCCGCAGCGGTGGCCGCAGCCCTCCCCGGCGTCCCCCGCAGGATCGGAGTCCGCGGACGGCGCCGGCCAGCGGACCGCCGATGACGCCGCCGGCCACCACCTGGAGGTCTGTCTGACTCTGAATCTCGCACTGCACGGTCCTGCTCTGTGGTGGGTGTCCTCCACTGCACCGGGTTCCCCACTCCCGCGTTGTTGATTTGGGACTCTCTTCGCCTCACTGCCTCCCTTTCCACACGCTGGATTGTTCTTCACTACCAAGTACGGTATCTGGTACACAGAGGCCCCAGTCATCAGGTCATTCCTCTCCATCGTTTCGCCGTCGTCGGCGGGTATCCAGTATCAGCACGGCCAGCCCTGCACCGACGAAATGGTCCGGTGGTTTGTTTTGATTGGCCTCCCAGCCGTGGGCCGCGTTTGGCTGGTGCCACGGACGTTTTACTCCGACCACCGTTAGTCACTCTCCTGTTGTGGGTAATGTCAGAAATGTTTGGGATAGCTAACAAGACAACTAAGCTACTTTCTTCTGGTTGTTTGTTTGTTTCTTGTTTATAGTTGCCAGATATGCAGTTGAAGTTCGCTCTAAAGTTACTCGCGATAGAAGGATGCGGCTAAGTTGAGATACAATCCGTTTCCTCAGCCATCCGGCACACGTTGCTCCTCTCGTTTCTCTGTATGGAGAGGGCGCTGTGAGAATTTTGTCAGTCGCCTACTATTCATTTCTGAACACTGCTGGTCCATCTTTTTTGGCCTTTGAACTCTGGCGGCCACCGATCGGTCAGTAAACGTCACATATCCACAAGTTTAGCAGACATGTCTGTCCTCTGTGGTATCGCTATGAGGAGTCGATTTCCTTACACCTTTACCTATGAAGGGCTGAAGTTCTTGTCCGATGTTCGTGAGGACTTCGCCGGTGGTTTCTTGACGCCGGTGGTCTAGAAGAGCGCTCCAATCGCTCGAGAGACTTTTAAGTTACATGTATCTTTTGTGTTTCACAATACTGTTCCCGCTCTCTCACAATCATTATTTTATGTATTCTTACGGCCATTTATCATCAGCTTCATCATCTGCATCAACCTGCGTATATTAGTTTAATTCTGTCCGACAGAGTTGATTGATGATATTATCATAGTACAACGGAAAGCATTGGTAAATCGGTAGCTCCGGTTTCGTAATATTGTATAAACATGTGCAAATTACCCTCATACAACATTAGCATGCTGCAAAGAATACAGGCAAAAAATTGAAGCTTGTTTCTCGATAGAACTTTCTCATTTCCTCCTCTTCATGCATGAACATTTTGGAATATGACTGAGACTCATTGTGTCATTATCTGGACTCGTGGGACAATGTGGCACAACTCCACTAGACCACTATCAGCTGTAACACCGGAATCAGACCCCGTGCTCCGGCGGACGTGTGTGTGTGGACACGCTGCGGTTGCGGGCACTCCCAGCGCGAGCGGTCGGCTACGGGCCCTGTCACCACCCAGGGCCCATTGTGAACGGCTCAGAGACCGCATCGGGTCCAGCTGATACGCAGTGGTGCGCCGCGCGCGGCCGACCGCCTCACTTTCCCCGTCTGTGTGTCCGTGTGTCTGTGTGTCTGTGTGCCGGCCTTGGCAGCCAGATAATGGGGGTGACATTGGTGGGGTGATGCATCAACTTTTTCATCGGGGCTGTTTTTGAACACTGACTTGACGGAAAATTGCTCATTCAGTGGATGATTTTTCTTGATTAATTCATTGACATGCTGTGTCAGCGTGCCGACAATGTTATCAGATAGCATGTTTGCAACATTGAGCCCGCTATTCTCTGCGCTGTAAATTCCGAGGCGCCTGTGATCATGTAGTTACCCCGAGAATTGTCAGCAATAAATCATTCCGCCATGATACCATAATCACAGCACTTTACGAGCCGTGCCGGCGACAGGGCTTGTAAAGCTGCTCGTTCGGGATCTGTTTTGTGGCTGTGACACCCGGCTCAGCTCTGTCAGCGTTCTGAATATGTGGCTGAGCGCGCGGTGGCCCACCCGGGGACACTGGCCGCGCTGCTGACGGTTAGAGCGCCTCTGGGCCCGGTCCCCTGCTGCTACCCTGCTAGATATTCAGTTTGCGCAGCCGTGCCAATTGAAGGTCGGCGTGCAGGGATGCCTGCACGCCCTCTGACACCTGGAAAAGTACTCAGCAAATGCGCCGCGTCTGGTGTCGGCGGGGACGATGGCCTCTGTCGAACCTGTTCGCCGAGTGTTCTGACTGATTGGGTATCGTGTTCAGGGTCTGGACGCGGCTCTATTGTCCACTCTGCAGCCGTTTGAAATGTTTCCCCACTGTTTGCGTGTGATGTCTGTTTGTGTATGTGTGCCGTTGATTGTTTGTGTTATGCTGTCTATGTTAGTGTTAGGTGTTTATGTAGCGCTAGATCCTTGTGTGTGACGTTGGTTTGCCTTTCTGTCTGCAGGACTCGCGGGGCGGCGGACACCACCATCACCGTCTGAGGAGCCGCTCTCTGTCCGCCTCGTCCCAGGACAGCTTCAGTTCAGGTCAGTCCCGGCCGCTGCGCCGGCCTCTGTCCCCAGACCTTGGGTAGGATAGCGTTCGGCGGCCTGGCTGGGCTATAGTGAGCCTGAGTGGCTGGCTCAGCTCTGGCCGCTGTTTGCCAGCAAATGATTCAGATTTGACTGATGCTGCAGACTGTTACCCAAAACACCAGGCAACACATACCGACTTAGTGTTCGCCTCTGGCAGCTTGCACAGTACATACATAAGCTCAAAGGACTGGTGCAATTCAGCACAGACGCTGACGGACAGCCAGCATTGGGCCCTCGCACATCGCTCTGCTGCTTTGCCGCTCACATGCATATTCGCACCAATACAGCGAGCTTATTCGGCCTGCGTGCAGTGTTTGCACGCCTCACACGTCCTTGCAGTTTGTTCCGTGTTCTACCCGTCCCTGTAGTGGGTTCCGTGTTCTGCCCGTCCCTGTAGTGGGTTCCGTGTTCTACCCGTCCCTGCAGTTTGTTCCGTGTTCTACCTGTCCCTGCAGCGCGGTGGGTTCCGTGTTCTACCCGCCCCTGCAGCGCTGTAGTGCGGGTTGTACCCCGGGGCGGCGGCTGGCTGCGTGCCGCGCCCCGGCACTTCGTCCGTGTCCGACGGCCCTGACGGTGCGGCCGAGCGCACTGCCGGAGCCCGCAGAGTCACGGGAGCTCGGCCCTCAACGGGTGAAGCGGACAGCTCACAAGGCTGCCGGTGCGCGACCCAAGGTGCCCCGAGCTGATAATGACTGCCGTAATTGGGTCTCTAGTCACGGCCGGATGGGTTTGTCTGTGTGGCGTGAGTCTTCTGTTCGGCTAAAACTCGGCAACTTATCTGTTAGTTGAGCTGTTGACCTTTTATTACGTGTAATGTGGGCATGGGGCGTTCACAAATGGTCATTGAACCGTGAACTAATATCTGGGCAGCTCGTTTGGAGAGGCCTTCGGCTGACGCGCTGCCGCCCGCTCAGGTGCGTAGTTCGCCCGCCTGCCGCTGCACATTAGTGGCGCTGCTGCGTCACGTGATGTTTGCCCGCGTCGCCTCGGGCAGCGCCGGACGTGCGAGGCTGCTGCACGCTCTGCCGGGAATGCGCCGCACGGCCGCCCCGCCCGCCGTGTCTGGAATCTCACCTCGGGATAACAGGGTGGCACGGTATACGGCACTGTATCTCTCGCCATAATCTTTGCACTCCCCGCTGTAGGTGCTCGCCTGTTGACCGGCAATGACCCGCGCTGACCCGGTCAGCTGACCACAGTGACCTAAGGGGCAGAGGAGCGCCTCTGATGTCTGGGGTCGGTCGGTGTGCCCTTAGGGTTGTTGGGTTGCTAAATGACGGTGCTGAGCGGCTTTGTGAAGTCATGTTCCGTCTCACTGAACTTGCTCTATAGAGGCCTGTTCGGCGTTCTGCCGGCCGGATTTTCCGTGAGCGTCGGTCGTTTGTGCTCGTACTTCATCCCCCAATCTGTGCCAACGTTTATTGCTGATACGATGCACAACATGTTTGATGAGACGGCGCTGATGTCACTTTGATTTCATTTACGACTCCGCGGCTTTACTAGCTGATATGACGGAAATATCGCTGATATAGCAAATAGAGGAAACTATGCTCATTCAACACGAGATAGGGAGCTGAATAGCGGTATTGCAGCCAGCACCACCATCTGATTACTCCTGACAGTTGTAAAATGGAAGCATTGCGCAGTTTACCGTTTTTATAGTGACGAAACATGGCCGTAGGTTTTCCATAGTTTGCCGTTAGTGCATTGTCCATTCAGTTGCAGCGTCCGGCTCGACCCGGTCTGCGGCTGCTGGGGTCTCCCCCACCCCACCTAGCTCGCTCGTCACGGCTATCCGTCACGACACCACGCCCCGTTACATGCGCGCGTGACGCTGTCACGCCCCGGTGTTGCCGCGGAAGTCCGTTGTGCCACGGTTGATTTGGCTCGATTTGGGGACGTTTGTTCCACCGGATAGTTTTGTTTCTGGGCTACACATAGCTGAGTCGCTGGCCAGTTTTACTGGTCTGCTGCTAACCCTTGTCGCTAGATGGCAGCAGCAGTGTGCGTCTGGAGTCCTGCTGTGCCGCATGACGCTGAGTGCTGGGATACTGGACATACGAGAACAGTGGACGATGCGTGGCTGAGAGGACTGCGATCACGCTACCCTATCCTCTCTCCCACTGGCCCGATGACACCCGTTCTGCGGTAGACCGACCACTTATGGATGAAGGCCTTGACTCTATCACACACAAAGTTTTGACTTTTGATACGATACACACAATGTACTGATGTACTTGATGTACACAAATGACAGTCATTCCCTGACCGAGCTTAACTTCCACCTGAATAATGATATTTCATGTCCAGGCACTTAACCAGATGACGCACGCACTAATGGAATTGTCCACTTCGACTGAAATTTCCAGCTGAGTTGGCTTTTCGAGCTGAATGGGTCCGGCTTTAATTTGATTTTGCAATTTCGTAACACGCATTCAGGCTCATCGTCTATATGCGTTCTTCGTATTCAGTGCAAGCCCGTTAACTTATTGAGGCGCGTATGGGTGATGATGGAACGCGTCGGTCGCCGGGCTGGCTCCTCTCCTCTCCCCTCTCTCTCCAGCACTCTGCCTGAGGCGATGCGTGTCGACGTCATCTGCATACAAACGTGCTGCTTCGGTCCTCTGCAGCGCGCAGCCTCTCGAGCCCTGGTAGGGGCCCCGGCGCGCGGGGATGCTGGGCAGAAACGAGCGACATTGTTCGGCGCGGCGTGCGACGCGTGTGGAGCAGTGTCGAAGGGTATTATGTTCCACAGATGCGGAGGAGGCTTCAGTGGGAGAGAAAGGATGTTTTCTGCGAGAAAAAGCGGATTGCTGGCTCGGGGATTTGTCCCGAGCAAAGCTGCCTGTGGTTATGAAGTGGCTCAGCTCTTGGGCTTTGAAAGTATGTTGAGGGGAATTTCTGCCTACACAAAGTTGCACTTGTATTATGCCTCTGAGTTTGTGACTTGAGGCCTGGTTTTCAAGCTTCAGCCAAAATAAACATGTATGTGCTTGTGTGATGCAATACTTTGCTTTGGTGAAGTATCCTTTCAAGCAATTTTTATATTTTATTGTATGTATTCGATATTTGCTTATGTTTTAGCAAATGTAGGTATGCCAGTGAATCCTGTGCTTTATTTCCTTCCTACAACTGTTGAATTATGTTGTGATAAACACATTGTGCTACGCTCTATTACCTGTTTGTGTTTAGGTGCCGTCCCAATGGTTTACTTTTCATTTAATCGCCTAACTCTACGCCCTGGATTTTCTCGTCATGCTGTTATTGCTTCTTGTCTTCCGTTCAGCAGCCATTTACATGACACTATGACCGAGCGCGGCCGCTGAGACAGCGTTAGCTGGGTCTGTGCCCAGAGGAGGGCTGGCTGGCTGGGCTGCTGGCCGCGCTGTCGGCCCTCGGGTGCCCGGCAGACACCACAGCGGCACTCCCTCCCTGGCCGTAATGGGGTTGGCGGCTGTGGCGCTATTGGGACAGTCGCAGGTCCCCGGTGACCGTCCGCTGGTGGTAGCCGTGGTGGTGTAGGGTTTCTTATATCGTACCGTGGTGAGAAGCGGCCTGCCGTAACCATGCGTTGGATAATGCTTTGGGACTGATCACGCACTACATAAGCTATATTCACGTTTTTGCAGTTATGTTCCTTCCGTCTATACGGATAGAGGAATGGCAATGCTGTCAGCCACCTTGTTTTCTGGTATTATTTTAGTTGCCGCTTGCATGGAACGTGGCTGTACCTCGTGTGTTTCTTTCTGGAGCGTCACAATCAAATTATTTCCTGTCCCCACTGATGTACTGCATGCATTTTGTTTCTGGCATGATAGAGTTCACTCAACTATTTTGATGAATAACTCAATTTGTTATCGCCTGCTGTGAACTGTGGCTGTTCTCCCTCAGCTGCTTACATTCAACGGCTCTACGACATGCCAGATCAACGTGTTAAAAACGGCATTCCTTCCCCCTTTTCCTCGGGCTGCACTAGCCTCAGGAGCCTCTTGTTGACATCCTGCCACAGCCCCCCCCCCCCTGGCACCACCTTCCCACACGGCACGTCGTGCGGCCCGTCAGCGACAGTCCCAGGCAGCTGTGTGAGCCGGAACTGGTGCGCCTGCTCGCTGGTTCCGCTGTGTATTATGCATGTCCGGGTCCGCGGTCTGTTCCGGCAGCGCCTGGTATCGACAGCCGCACGTAGTGGCGTGTCTCAGGCAGTGCTGGTGGTGCCTGGTGGGGCCGGGGATTTAGGGAACTCTTCTGATGCGTGGACTTAGTTTGGTACTATCGAGATGTAGGAAGTCTGCCCTGAATATCCGACTTGTCTTCGCAGAGTCATGTTTCCGTTCGGAAGTCAGCGGCGTAGTTGCGAGTTGTGCGTTTCTTCGAGCAACTATACTAATCGCACACCGGATGTCGGCTGGCGGAGGCTGTGCTCCTGACAGGCGGCACCTTGTGGCCGAGCTGGCCGGTGGGCACGGCGCCCGCCCGCCCCCGCCCCGCCTTCGGCCCAAATCGCCGTCCGCCACCGGTGCGCGGGCACCCCGCGGCGGCGGCGCCGGCGGTGGTGGCGCGCGCCAGTGTGGCGACGGAGCCGACGGGGAGTGGTGCGTCTTGATCGACGGCTTGGTGTGGCGTTCGCAGGGACGGCTGCTGGCGGCGACCTGACTGCTACCTGGCTGTGACATGACCAAACCTGACCTGACCTAACGATGGGCGCTGGTGCGGATCATTTTACGAACCATTCCGCTGTTTTTTATGCTCACCTGCGTGTGGAACTAATAGATTTTGGTATCTAATATGAACAACGTCCATTTTCTACTTGTCTTTCCGTGCCGAAAACACTTTACCATTAGGATGTTTTCGGTGCTGCCATCAATGAAGGTTACGATGCTCTGTTTTCGCGCTGTTTATCCTTCATTGTTTTAACTTTTAACTTTTAAATGCTTTTAAATATCAAGTAAATA